AACCCTGAGCCTGACGGTGAGAGCGTCAAATGTTAGCCATTACACCAGTTCGGATACTGGTTGTTGAAAGATTGGCTCGCTCCGCAATGTTTATGTTTGCTAACTCATTTCGGGCTGAGCTCCGACAGCGAAGGTTCACTTACATTTTCCCCAGCTTCTGTCAAATAAGGCTCCTTGCAGACCTGTTAGCTGTGGAATAACACACGGAAACAGCAGTAAAACCTGGAGCCTAATGGTAGAAGATTTATGCCATTGGATTTTTTGTAGCCTCGACGAGATTGATTAAAATTTGATGTGCTTTTCCCATGTTCATCAACGAAGAGACACTCTCAGGCAACGCTCACCAACCTTGGACTGAGTCGGGTTGTCAATCCAAACGAGCCATTCTGAAAGGCCACTCCAGATCACCGAGACACGTCATCTCTGTCCCAAGTGTGTTTCGCCATGGCATCGGTGATCGTTCTACAGACTCGACGTTACCCCCTTGTCACATCGGCAACCGGAGAAGCAGGTGGTACTTCTTCCCTAGTATACCAAGTGCAGTCTCGCTGGTTGGTATGTGTGGATTTTGCCGTGTTTGTTGTGAAATTCTGTACCTCGATATCAGCAATTGAGCGTTGTGTCGGACAGTTATTCGTCCCAGCGTCACACTCACACCGAACGCGTCGGTGCTGTCAAGTCCGGTTGGAGTACTTGTTGCTCCTTCCCTCGCCTGTGCCAAGTGAACGATTTCCACATGCACTATATGTTGCTTCCGAATTGGCCGTTTCTATAGCCCTCAACCCGAGACAGCCAAATCGCCTGACGACGTCGCGACTCGAATGATTGGCCGCCACGATCGCTCTTTGGGTCTGGGATGCCACTTTCCCCCAGCTTAACAACATTCAATGATGTGTGACATGGCTCCGATTTTGCAGATGGAGAACGACCAGATCCTGCAAAAGATCAGCCAACCGTTAGTTCCACCAGCTAGGCAACGTTGCACCACCAGTCTCGGGACAGGTGCCTCGATATGGCTGCCGCATTGCAGCCTGCGCTCGTTGTGTCACCACCGAGGCCGAGCATCGCGCAATTTACCAAAGAAATGGAAGTGTTCCGGGCACAAATCATAGACAGACGAACAAGTCTCCTGGGAAGTACCGATTAGACTGGTTGACAGGCTGTTGGCTGTGAACCGTTGCTCTGGGAGCACGTATGCCTGAAGCCGAATGCTTCCAGCAAATCGTGTGGCTCGGCTATCTTTGGTGTAACACCAGTGAGCTTGTCTACTCAAAGATTCTCTGCAGTCTCGATCGGTCAAATACTTAGTCTGGCGCCCAAACTTGAATCACCTCTCACGGGGGGAAGCAGGGCGCATCGCAAAACTCGAGAACCTCGGTCAAGCCACAAAGGACATCGATCCGTTGGTGTACTCGAATGGTATATCAGACAAGTCGGCGGCAGAATCGTAGTTTTGTCCCATTTACCGACAAAGTCGACTCTGACGACACATACTTGGTCCATTGGCTGGGCACATCTTCTCGCAGCTTGAGGTCGGGCTTTGCAAACACCAGAAGGGGCCATCTTCGTCCGATACTTTCCAGTCAGTCTAATTCAGCTGCGACGAGAAGGAACAAAGGGAACCCCAGGTGCGTTGGCCTTGCCTTACTTTTGGTAAGTATCTGACAGGTACTTCGCTTATCAGGATTGCGGCTTCTAGCTCACATCCAAGCAAACGACTGGTATTCAAGTGATCCAGCGCCCTGCCTTCTTGCCTTTTGGCATTCTTAAACCAGGTCCTCTCGCCGAGCAGAAGTTGTTTCCCGTTCTTGATGTAACTCCTTCCTTCATACTCTCTCCCATTCAAACCTCTGCACCTTCCATTTTGCACGCCCCTCGATCTTTGGTCAACCCGGCAGTCACCAGCAAAACAACTCTGGTCGGCATAAAAACCCCAACACTAACCCTTTCCATCTACACAAGCAGAAGAAAGCGCAATTCACCACTCTCAGCATCAGGGATGAGCCGTAGACGCTGCCCCATCACCTCAACATACACAATCTAGGCTTGCCGACTACTGTCTACTGGTGAATAACCCGGTCCTCAAACTTTGTTTGCGGGCGCATTTGACCGCCTGCCTTCACCAGACCACACCGAACGTTCTGCATCATGTCCTTCTTCGCCGGAGATTCGCGCCCCTCTGAGGCTCCTCCACCTCCCCATGGCGGTCTCAAGACGACTGAGATCGGCGTCATTGTCGGGGCCGTCACTGCTGTCGTTCTTTTTATCGCCATCATCTTTGTGCGGCGTATGCATTCCATCAAGAAAGAGCAGCGCCGAGCTCAAGAGGTGAACGATGTCGAGTCTGCCCATCACGCTGGCGAAGCGGCTGAACACAAGGGCGATGCCGATGATCCCTTCAGAAACGATGCTTCCTCGGGTGATAATCTACATCAGCGTCCCAAGCCCATCAGGATGAAGCTTGCCTCCTACCTGCCACGCACAATCATCAAGCGCCTGTTCAAAAGTACGTCGGTAGCTGGGTCCTATTATATCTGGTCATGGTCTGACGTTGATCACAGTCCATCTCGAGACCGATACAGAAATGACTTCACGGCACCACTGAGAGACCTTCTAGGAGGGATACCTCACGCTAAGTAGTTGTGCGTCGTCAGGCCTGCGCGACTGGGCTCACTCGATCTTCCAAGAAGCACAAAAGGTGCGCCGAAAGATACGCCAAAGATATAATTTTTGAACGGGTTAAGGAAATCAGCACAGCTTTTTACGCTATGGCGCCACTATGGTTTGGGAAATATGGCAGGGGATGCGGGTGTTCACTTTTAGTTGGGATTGTTTGCCAATCACTTTGGTCTTGTTTGCGGCCGATGGCCGAGTTTCTGAGGAATATGAGTCGTGGTGCAGCGCTTTCGATTTGTACTTGGTGATTTATTACCGGCTTACAGAACTGCGCCTTAGTAGTTCTTGCAGGGTCTTTCTTCGACGAGTGCAGAGTAATAAACCTACAAGAATCTCTGCTCTCGCATGACTGTGCATCACATGATGAGGAGCACTCCTGTTTGCGCCGTCCTTGAGAATGAACGTCTCGCTGCACGACACCCCAACACAACCAGAAGACGTCATGACCCAGACTGGGCGTGTATCGATTAGGATGAGGTACATATTGTCCATCTATATGAAGGGTAAGCACACCAGTCACGACAACCCTGCCTCAAGCCAACCCCCTTTCCATCAGCCTCAGGTTCTCACAGTGTCCCGTGTACGCATTCTCTCATACTCCGGCATTGCAAACCTAGTCATCCACTCCGAGTGAAGAACTTGCTCAATACTACAACGCTGCTCCGGCTTGTACGCCAGCATAGACCGCAGCATGGCAAACAGGGCTCCCTTCTCGGCCGAACCCATAGTTTGCATCTTGTATCTTCTGCGCCCTTCCTGCAACGCATCCTCAAACTGATGATCGAGTGTATAGACAGGACCATCATCGGCTCAGAGGGGCTCGCCATCTTCGGTAAAGTCCTCGGAGCGCGCATCCCATGTCCCCCACCACTCCTCGGGCAGCTTTCCGAGCGCTTGAACCTGCATCCACGTCACGGTGTCTTCGGTCCCCCAGAAACCCTCGAACAGCGACCGCTGCGCAAGAATGGCCCAAACGGTACACGCGAGGGTCCAGATGTCGCTAGGGAACGACTTTGGCTTCCCTGGCTCGAATCTGTGCTCTGGTGGGCGAGAGTGGACCGGCGTGCAGCACTCGAACCTCGACTCTTGCGACGGGCGGTACAGCTCGCCGAAGTCAGCGAGAACAATGTGGGCGTCCGCCAGCGGCAACTTGTTGATTCTCCCCATCGGGAACCAGATAGGCAAAGTGGCGACGGAGGGGACCCCCGGCGGGATGGGCTTATCGTCGAATGTCTGTACCGGCTCGAGTTCGGGCTCTCCGCAGCGCGACGATAGCTCCTCGTCAGACCAGAGCTGGAATTCCTGCGGCAGTCTGAACAGGACGTTGCCGAGGTGAAGGTCTGGATTACGGTTCAGTCGGTCGAGCAGAGCAGCGGCAGTGCGAATGGATGCTAGCACTCACCACCGTGGACAAAGCCCTTCCCGTGCAGGTATGCAACAGCGAGGATCAGTTGAGCAGCGATCGCACGTGCAACGGGCAGCAGTAGAGGCGCGTAGGACCCCCTGCGCTTTGCTTCGATTACGCTGCATCGTGCAACGTCAGCGACTAGGCATGCATGGCTGCCGTTAGGACCGTCGACGCAAAAAGCGTCAAGAAGCGTGGGTATCATGCCTCGCCCCAAGGCCTCCCCGTCGTTGTCGCTGTCAGCCTTGCTCAGATTCTTCAAGAGTAGCATGGTTTCTGATTCACGCGGGCTCGCTTCCGCCGTGCAGACCTTTACAGCTACTAGTCGCTGGAGAGTATCGTCTCGAGCGAGCCAGACAGTGGAATAGCTGCCGTGGCCCAGCTTGTTCAGCACATGGTATCGACCCCCTAAATTATCACCGATGGCCACGGGGTGGTAGCCGCCGGGACCATATCTGTAAAAAGGTTCAGCACCGTCAATGTCATGGAAAAGAATGTTTGAGTCCGAGCCAGACGCCCCGCTCTCATCGAGGCACTTTTTCGCTGGTCTGCTCGTTGTGTGACATGACGAGGACCAGAATGAGGAGCGGAAGCTCCGATCTCGAGCTGCTGGGGAACGAAATCGAGGCGAGGGGAAAGTTTGACAGCTCCGCAAAGCCAAACTTGCCGGTCTCATCTTCACTGGCAGCTTGTTGCCCGCAGCAAAATTTGTTTATGAGCGTAGATCGGTCAGAGAGTGGCGGAAGAGAGACGCGATCACGTTCTAGATGTGAAGAGGGCAGGCTGCGAGTCAATCGGGCATAGTGAAACGGGTATCCAGGATTACATACGTGAGTACGCTTCCTACTATTGGTCACGTACCCGTGCGTCACTCGCTGTATACGACCGTGTTTGTCCGATGAGGCTATACAGACCTTGCCTTGCGCAGCGCTTCACCTTTTCTGGCTTCATTGGAATAATATAAGGTAGGTACTTATGTATCTCGCCTCGTGCCTATCGAATGGAAAACCATGGAAAAGCGCCTTCCGCCAGTGGGCTGGCCTCAGGGCCCGGGGCCTGGGGCCTGCCTAGCTAGGCTGTACCTTCATCGACGCGCTGCGGCTCGTTATGGTATGACGTAGATTTCGAAGACGGCACCAAATACTTGATGGTTTTCTCTGGATGGCTGGGCCACATGTACTTCGCCGCCACCTTGCCGCGCGCTCAAGCATTGGTATCGACAGGCTCAACAATTTGAGTTGGCGAAGTGTTCTGCCTGGCAGAAAACCTGAAATGGGCCTGGCCAGGATATGTAACGGCTTGACAGGACCGAGTGTCGGAGCAGGAGCCGATGACCATCAGTCGCTAGTCGTGATCTTGCGAACAAGCCTGCTGAAACGACATCTTCGCGTAGGATGCCGACAAAGTCGCCTGGCAGGGCACCGTCTCCTGCACCAGACTGCGACAGGCCGGATTCCTGATCCAAATGCGATGCCAGCGGCGCCAGACCAGAGGGTAGCAACTGGAATGGAAGGCGGGCAAACCAGTGGATAGATGGTGGTTGTAAGTGGCATGCAGAGAAGGTTCGTCACGGCAGGGCAAGCTCGCAGACAATATTAGGCAAAGTGGTGTTTTTCGTCTGACAATCTGTCCCGACCCGTGCAAAACCTGTTCCTGTCCCTCCTCATAATCCATACCCAGAACGCCGGTCAATATGAATATCGCCCAAAAAACCAGTTCTCAGGCCAAAAAAAAGGTCTACGAGTTCACACACACACATACACTCGGCATACATTCGTACCTGAGCGAAAAGCAAGAATCCCCAATGGCAAAGAGCGCATAGGCCAGGCTCAGCGCTGACCGGACCCCTTGGTGCTGTAGCGGCTCTTGAACGCCTGGCTGATGCTGAACCTGCTGCCGATAGCCCCGTCCTGCATCTTGCTGGCGAGAGCCTCCTCCAGAGCTGACTGCGTGACCGAGGCATCTGCAGACCTTTGTCAGTTTGTGTAATTTATATGAGCTGAAGGGAGAGGATGTAGTAAGAAAAAGGAGGGAATAATAAGGTGAGTTGGAGAGTACGGCCTCCACGAACGGGCAGAAATGCAAGCCACGTAAGGAAGAAAGAGAGAGGCCAGAAAAGAAGAGGGAAGACCCCGCACTCACCGTCCAGATCGCTAAAGCTGCTACCCATGCTCGGCGTGCCGTCGCTACCCTCCCGCCGCGAGGGACTCTTCCCGCTCAGCTCCGCCGTCCTCCGAGGCGAAAGCGGGCCCGAGTGGCCCGCGCCCTGCTGCGTCCGAGACCTGTCACCTCCGCTTTGCACAGCAGCCGATCCGGCGGCAAACGCTGGCGAGCTGGTGGCCGATGAGTCTGAAGTTTCAGAGCGGTGCGTCGCCGTGGATATGTGTTTGCCTTTGGCTCTGCGGCGCGCGCCTGAGTCGCCGCGTAGCGTCGAGCCGAGGTCCTGGCTGCTGGGCTGTTGATGCTGTTGCTGCTGTCCGAACGCGGGCTCTGCGTCCGTGTCCGTGTCGTCGTCATCGTCAGCGGCGGCGCCGCCAAAGTCGCCAGCGCCGTCACGGTGGGAGGAGGGTTTATAGTGTGGCGGACGGCGGATGATACGGGACTGAGCTGGCAGCGAGTCGGAGTCGGAGTCGGAATCTGACGCATCGTCGTCGTCGTCGTCTTCGTCATCATCTGCCGAACTGCTGGACTGCTCAGCGCCGCGGCGAGCAACAGGGGCAGCAGCAGCAGCCGTAGTGGTGGACTCGATGGGCAGGGAGGACATGCGGCGGCGCTGGGCTTGCGCGGATGCGAGACGTGGAGATTGCACGGCGGTGCTGTTGGAGGCGTTGCGCGATATGTTGGGGCGCAGGAGAGAGGTCGTGATGGGCGTGCTGGGTCCGCCGCTGTGAGGGAGGGGTGAATCGCGACGAATGGAGAGCGCCGAGGCTGTACGCGCGTGGCCGCTGGCACTGGGATCAGTCTTGACGGCAGCGGCGGCCGTAGCCTTTCGTACTTGGGCTCGCAGCTGGGCTGCGTGTCGATCGGTGAGGTAGGCGACCTGCTGGAGTAGGAAAGCAACGTTGACATCGAATCGTGCCGCTCTGCGTGTCGACGGGTTAGCGTAGGTCGGACATCTGCTAGTCGGGACAAAGGAACCTACAGCTCATTCCCTGGACAGGTGCCGTCAGCGAGTGCACTCAATACAGGCGTGATAGATGTCAACACTTACAGTCAATCTCCGTCTGGGCCGCGCCTGAGATGATGCTCCAAAGCTCGTCATCCTTTACGGCGTCCCAGTGGATCTATCATCCATGCATGAGTACCCAGAAGCCAGTGAAACAGCTCGAGCCTTGCTGCTCGGGATACTCACAGGTGGGGGGTCGGCGAACTTGCCCCGGGAAATGGGCAGCCGTATATACACCGTAAACGTTGGCTCCGCCATCATGAATGCTGATCTGTTGTCATTCTGCACTGTTCGGGCCAGCAGATTTCGAAGAGGGCAGCTCTGCTCTTTGGGTAATGGAGGACGGCAAGTCGTTCGAGTGCTCGCTGCGGCGGATGACGGCAGAGGGAGCTCACCTTATCGGAGCTGCGGAAACCGATAAGACACGAGGCAGTGCAGCAGGGTGCGCTAGGGTCCATGCCGCCGTTTCGGTGACAGCACACCGAGCTAGAGACCGTACGGCTGGCTTTCTTCGCCAATATTCCTTCCGTGCCACGACAACAGGCCACCCCCCTTGAGACAAATCCAAGACAGCCAACCGACAAAAGCATGGTGCTTTCCAGCACCTGACCAAGGTTCCCGACTATGAAAACGGCAACACCAAGACACCTCGTGGGCTTTCGATTCCTCAGCTGAGAAGCAGGCTTGTGCCACGCTAAGCCCCTGATCAATCCACACCACGGAAGCCAGACGTATCGGAGGTACATAGGTCCAGGCCTAGAACTTTCAAGCACATGTCAGGTTACACAGTTGGGTTTTATGCTGAGTTGATCTATATACGTGTACATGAGCTGTGTTCCAAGCCGCTGCACCAGGACAAGGTAGGCTACAGTAGACAAGTTGCGATCGGACCAAATCGATGGTCACCTGTTGCTGGCGGTATCACCCCATGCCCCATTTCAATGAGTGTAAACAGCAAGGATCTAAGACGAGTGACCCCAAGACACTATCCCATCATCCAGACCCGAACGATGCGCGACTACCTGAAGAAAAGAAAACGAACGCCTGATATGCAACCTGACCTGGCCGGCCCATGTAATGCTCCTCCCGTTTGGAGAACACGTCTGGACGGAATGAGTGTTTGGGTACCGAAAAGCTCGATGCAAGATGTAAAATGTGGCATTGTGCCCGTTGTGAAGGATTACTGTATTGTTTTTCTCTTCTTCGCTCGTCCATTTCCAATCGCTCTTAGTTTATCGTGCTTGAGAGCATACTCTTCCTGCTCAACCGATTTGAATCCCGCTGGCCGGCTTCTGACACTGGTGTTGCCCAACCGCTGCCGCCGCTTCCACTTCCTCCACTCATCTCCCGCTGTATGAAGTTGGCATTCTTGTCACCGATCGCTCCGTCGTTCAGCGCTCGCCGGCTGTTCGTCAGGCCCTTCTGCATGGGCACGGGTGTTGGAACCTCGCTGTTCCTTGACGAGTCCAGATCGCTCCCTGACCGCTGGTCGATCGGCCCGCCCTTCTCGTCTACGTCGTCCCGGTTCCGTCGATGCACGAGTGTCATGAGGCCGGCACCTCCGGCCAGGGCACTCCGGAAGTCGAAGAATCGCTCCTTGATCGTCTTGTCCGAAGTCTCGTCCCGGAGGAGCCAGAAGAAGCCAGCAAGTAATGCAACCACCAAGATGATGGTTACGATCGCCGCACCCGCCCTGTCACCTCCCTTGATCGGCGTTGTTCTGTTGGAACCGGGTTCTGACCGCCCAATGTCCTCTCCGCCACCTGCCGCATCGCCAGTACTAGTTCCGCCCGAATTTGCCGTCACAGGGTCAGGCCGTGAGGCTACAATGTTGCTAAGAGCGGCTTGCATAGCCATCATCTGCGGCCCGACACCCTGCAGACCGTCCCACTTGCCCTTCTCGGTCCACTTGAGTCCACACATGCGGCCGTTGTCGCCGCCTACACAAGTCGAGGCGGCGGCGATGGATGAGGCTCGAAGCTTAGGCATGATATAGTCGGTTAGATGCGGCGCCCACTTGGTGGTGGCGGCGAGCCAACGGGTCAGATATGTCTTGAATGATTGCTGGTCATTGTTGCAGAGTTCGACCGTCTCGCAGGCCACTTCTTGCATGATGTCGCGATTGTCGCCGACGAAAAAGACATCCGTGGCGTTGACGAGACTGTCGAGCCTTTCCTTCCATTCGTCTGAGCCGGTGAAGTTGTACATAGCAGAGGCGCCATTGATGAAAACGCCGACGTTGTAGGACCATTGGTACGGCACAATGTTGGTACAGTTGGTCGGAATGTGAGCACCGTCAAACACGGAGTAGTTGTCGTCGATAAAGCCCACGGCCTTGGTCCAATCCCACGTTCGCTCGGCCCAATCAGCATAAGATGAGTTGCCTGTGTAAAGAGCAAGGCGAGCGGCGAGTGCGAAGAAACAGCCCTGCGAAATGGTGTTTTTGTAGTCGAATCCCTTGTTCCAGTTGAAGATTTGCCATCTTAGGCCACCGCCACAGTGGCCCGGGTCCCAGCGTGCGGCCTGGGTGTTGAAGACGGCCTGGGCGAGGCCGAGGTAGCCAGGCTGGTCCTCGGGAGGATCGGGAAATCGCTGTTCGGCGGCGGACATGACGGCGAGTCCCCAGAAGCCTTGGTCGTCGTTTCCTTCAGTGAGTGTCTGGTTGTCGGGCATGTAGTCGTTGAACTCTCCGACCTGATGCATGAGTGCCTGCACCACCTTATCGTTCCATGTGTCGTCACCCGTGTAGTACCAGTAGTCAATCATGGTGCCCATGAGCGCACCAGCCTCCCACCCTGCAAACAAGAAAAACGCTGTTAGAATTGTGACCAAGGAGACATGCACAGTCGCGGCAACCTACAGTAGTACGGCGGGTCGGGCAGCAAGCCTGGTGTCTGTCCGGGCTCATCGCCACGATAGATCTCCATCGTGTCCTCTGCTATTGACCTCGCAATTGTCTTGACGGAATCTATCCATTGTCAGCAGACGACGACAAAGCAATGACGACGATAGTGGTTAACACTCACCTTCGGAATCAGGATCCAGGTCATAAGCGGATGAGACGCGGGTGAGGGCGAATAGAACGATTGTGAAGACCCGGCCAAGTTGGCCAATTGGTCTGCCCCGCAATGCCGTCATGATGTCTGGATGTGAGGAGTGCGCAGGTGTTTGTGTGTAAGACAGACAGAGAGCGAGATGTCTGCAGGAGGGCGCAGTAGGGCCGATAAATTAAGAGGGATTGGGGTCGAGCGAGGCCCTCGGCGACGACGATATTACAACTGCATAGAGAAACGAGAGACTATGTTGAGGGAAGGAGAAGGGGGGGGAGGGGGGAAGGAAAAGAGACCGTGGCGGCGAGGCGTGTTAGGAGGGGGATGGAGGTGAGAGATCGAAGATCAAGAAGAACGAACGAGCGGCCGGACAGGAACAAGACGAACGACGCATGAGGTGTTATTAGAATCCGGGGGTGTGGTGGCACCCCAAGCTAGAAACCAGAAAAGAATGACCAACTCGCAGCGCCGGTGCGACCGTGTTGGCCGGGGTGTGTCTAATGGAGCTGGCGGCGACAGGTGGGAATGGTCGCTATGCAGGCCCCCAGCTTACTGACTCTGCGTTTTCGCTGGGCGCTGACCTGTTCGTGTGCGGCTAGGTAAGGTCGCCAAGACGGGGCTGCGTACGAGCACAATAGCCACCCTGGACCCGGATGGGCGGAGTTGCGCGGTCGGTTCGTGTTGTCCCCCCTTGTCGATCGATGATGGAGTGACGAGCAGATGGGCAAACAGTTCCCGCTCTCGTCTTTGGGCCGTGTTAATGATGGTCCCAGAATTGGAGCCCTTAGCCTTGGTGCAAGGTGGAAGAGGCGCCGGACCGGCTACTGCTGGCCGCCGTTCGAGTCAAGTGGATAGCTAACCAGTGGGTTCTGATGCTGGTGCTGGTGCTGGTGCTTGACGGGCTGGAATCTAACTAAACCAGGTGGGGATGAGGAGCTTTCTCGCTTTCCAGGCCAGGGGATGATGGCCTTTCTGGGTGTCCTTGGAAATCCCAGGTGGTGTGGGTTGTGTTGTTGGGCTTTGCCAATGGGGCAGTACCCGTGAGGGAAAGCGTCGACCTAAGCTCAAAGCGTGCAGCAAGAATACGAGCTAGAAGCACCGGAGTGTCGGGCGGAGGCGGCTCGGCAGCTCCAGGCAGCGACTTTAGGGGCAGGATCAATGACCAAACGACCCCACCACATACGACGCCGAATGGACGTGATTTGGGATCAGGGAAAGCGCTTTGGAATGAGCGATAATGGGGTCATAGCAAAACAGAGGAGTTGAAGCAACGGCCGCCAATCTGCACAGGATTGCCCCTTCTTGGAGCGAGTGCTGCCCTTTCCCAGAAAAATCTAAACAAAGGAACACCTGTCGATGAGACGGAGGACAGGACTTTGGACTGGGACACCTCTCGAGGACTGTTTTGTTTATTACCTGCCTATGTGCCCAACTTGAGGGGGAAAATCACGACAGGACTTGGGTACTACCGCTTCTGGATAGGATTCCATCGTTTTGGGAATCAGCGAGAAGGAGCATGGGGCATTAGGGGTTCAGGGAAGGCTAGAGGGAACAGCGTGGTTGCGGCAGCGGCAGCGCCATCGGAAGGAATACGAACGACTGTAATTACGGTGCTGACGTAGCGAATGCCTGTGGAGGGGGGGTGGGAAGGTACGATCGGGTCCGTGGAAGTCCACCCGACAACGGTCCAAAGAGGACGTGACTCTGGGGAAAGAAAGCAAGCGTGAGCCCTGTACGAACATTGTCTTCGCCTGGACACACACATGAGCGCAGCCAAGTCAGCAGTGGCTTTCTCTACATGCGCTGGCCGGCAAGCAGCGGTTGCGACCACGGACGATCGCGAGGAGCGGGAAGTCTGTGCCAGGTTCGGAGTGGCGCTTGACGTTCACGGCGGTCCCGCGAAATTCTCCCTCCTGTACCATGTGGTCTGTTGATCCAGCCGCTGTCCATCCGCCAATAGGTCTTCCCAGCAGCAATACTGACTGTGAAGTCGAATTCGTCATGTAAGTCCTTCGTTGTCTTCAGATCTGTCTCAGTTGCGTGCTGCAGTCATGCTGCAAGCGGGTTATGGGGGATGGGGGAGGACTTCAGGAACAGGGAGGCGAGAATGTAAGAAGCGGCATGCCAGATTTAGCAATTGCTGAAAGGCCATCTAGATTCCTGATTCAAAGGTCGATAAGCCACCCTTGAATGAAGATTAGCTACTACTGCTGCCTTTGACAGCCGACACGGACCTAACAGGAGCAATAAAGGTTGCATGACCACGTCATGGGCTCTGGTTCAGGCAGGTAGGTACCTTGCGAAAGAGACCACACGCATCATGCGCGAGCCAGGCTCGAAAAGATTAGATGGAGGCGCAGTACCCACGTGACTCTCGCACCCAGCCACCTAGGGGTACGTATCCCCTTACATAGGCACGGGAAACAGGGACAGCAACCGTGGCCGTGCAACACCTCAGGCTGTGTTTCGGGCCTGTCGCCTCTTGGTTTGAGCGTCTCACCCAGCTGTTCCGCCCGTTCCCCCAACCATCTTCTTGCAACTCCTCGTCTCCATCTCCCTTCCTGCCACCTTCACCTCTATCCGTCAAAACGAATCGTCAATCCCGCACTCACCTCCACACAACCGCAACAATCAGTCTACATCAGTAAACGCTTGATTGTGACTCCCCGAAAACACTCGCGCCTTTCTCTCAAACCATCTTGCCCGACAGGCTTGCGTCTTCAATCGAGATCACCCCAGCGACTACACACCCAACCACCACCATGCCCGAGGACGCCCCCTACGACCCCTACATCCCCAGCGGCCAGGCTGGCGCTGCGTCTCATGGAGCCGAGTCACAGCAGGGCGGCAATGCGCGCACCCAGGCGCTGCAAGCGGTAAGTTGCTCTCGCATTTCCTTGAGTGACGTCGTCGGTGGATTTTATTCTGGCCTCCTCCGCGGCAACGAATCGTCCAACGGGCGACCGACGACCCTGCTTTGCGATTTGCCCGGACGATACGGCGCTTGCTCACTTGCGACGAATGAAATGGCAATCCTCCGGCGCGTCCGCCTCGCAGCGCAGCATGTTTGCTTCTGCAAAACCACCATGGGAGCTTCGAAGCTCGTCCCCCCAACCACCGAGTGGTGCGGCTTGGCAGAAGACCCTGCGTCCCATGACGACGCGTTCCAGTTTCCCAGCAACGAACATCTTCACCCCCCATGGCGACCATGACCACCTTTCGCAGAATTATTTCAAGCATCGTCGCCAGTCTTCATGTCAATTCAGAATGCCATTTCACGTCGCTGTACCAAGAGTTTGATGATCATGGCTGACGTGTTCCTATTTTTAGCAAATCGACGACACTGTCGGCGTCATGAGGGATAACATCAACAAGGTGTCCCAACGTGGCGAGCGTCTCGATGCGCTGCAAGACAAGACGGACAACCTGGCCGTGTCAGCCCAGGGCTTCCGCCGCGGTGCCAATCGCGTTCGCAAGCAGATGTGGTGGAAGGATATGAAGATGCGCATGTGCCTCATCGTCGGTGTCATCATTCTTCTCCTCATCATCATCATTCCTACTGGTACGTGAAATGTACTCTCCCGTGCTTCTGGAAGCAGTCAACTGACACTGTTCTCCTCACAGTCATTGCGACCAAATAAGCTGCCTTGCCCAGGTTGCGGTTCTCTCTTGAGGGGGATTGCAAAGCTTCTCACGACACGATTACGACACGGCCGATCCACCTCGCGACCTCCGAGCTAGGCGGAGACACCAGCGCTCGGTGGAGGAATTGGAAACGGAGGCGCAGATGCAGGTGGCTGGCCACGCCACAGTGAAGGGAACGAGACTTGTTTTTTTTTTTGAGCGACACAGTTTGTGTTTGTCTGAGTACCAACACGTTGTCTTTAGTGGCGATCCTATAGTGCATGGCTCTCGTAAGAGATGCAGACGAGACTAAGAGCTAGGTGTCTGCTATCTCATGACCAACGAGGGCTATGACTTCGGGACCACCCGAATGTGTATGAATGGTGACGGCGTTCCTCCGACTAAGTACATGTACCTTTGACCGCGAAATGTTTCCTCTGCTGAAGTGCTGAAGTGTTGTACGAGACGGGGTCGAATTGTGTGCAACCGTGGCTCCGAGGGTGCGGGTGGTTGTGACTGCTCGTGAGCACTCGTTATCACTCGCCGTACTCCGTCTGTGTCAGATTGATCACAAGTGAAGTACACTTTGAGGTAGGCATATTTATATGGCGTATGGGTCGCCGCAACCCACAGATTTCAGAGGACCCGTCATCGTGCCTTATCAGATCGTTGAGCCAGCCAGTGTTGTCGGTGATCCGAGGTGATCCGAGCAACTACTAGGGTGGGCTCCTCTCCTGTCCCACATTCAGTCGTCCACACCCGGGATATCTTCTGGCTGTTCAGGTCGTGGGACAATCTACGCAATGAGGCATTCCAGGTCTGCAAGGCACGCTGTTTAGCTTTCCTTCTTGTTTTTCTTCTCATGGAAAAATCAATCAGATGCACCTGGAGCTTGTCGACATGCCATTGCGAAGTGCAAGCTGCTACAGTCCATGTACGAGACCGCCCGCCCTACAAGAATCAAGCGAGCTAGGCGTCCTGGGTCCTGCGACCACTTACTGGTAAGCGTTCAAGCGTCTGCCTTTCTGGGTGTCACTTGGGCGCGTATCATTCCCACTTGAATCCAATGTTCAACTTGATTGCCGTATCAGTCCCTCCTCCTTCAGGGAACCGAGCCGTTGACGATTCGAGCTTGATGCTGCGATGCGTGGTGGAGACTTGGCGAGCCGAAAGGAGACCAGGATACTGCGGCCATGATAGCCTCTTCCTGGCCTGGTTATGCTAGCATGTGAGTTCATTGAGCAGAATGCACCACTGCAGCGATAAGAGGTTGGAAGGCGTGCGTGGGGCAGGCATGCAAAAGCGGTGAGGCTATCGGATTGGCCGGCATCGGGCAAGCGCATCCCACTTGAAGCGGTTTCGGTCAGTTTTTTCCTTCCTGCTGCCAGTGTCAGTGGTCCTGGCCTGTACCTGCTGGTGGTGAGAGCCCAATTGCCGGCTATGACTCCACTGGCCAATTGGTGCCCCTCACTCTCCTCCAAGGCACAAACTCGCAGGGACCACCCACAGCATCATACCTTGCCTGCCCGGGTAAGGTAGATAGATACCCTGCACTGACATCGATCAACACTACTGGGGGGGTCTCTAATCGTCTTCTTTCTACACCCACATCTGCTCTTCCGGGTCTCTTCTCTCGCCGAATGCCCTTTGCCCACTTCCATTCGGAACGCCTCGCTCTGTCCTGTTTGACCAAGCATTGATCCGACCGGTGCTATAAGCCAGGGAGAGACAATTGCTGAATCCTGTTATCTACGACCCGACGTATCTCGTGTGATTCATATCTAGGCCACTCGGTAGGTAACATACCTTCCCCAAGGATGCGCTTTGTCTTCCCACCCATTGCACCCGACCAGCAGCCCATTGAATCACTGTTTCACGATCGTTCGGTTTACTGATTCTTCTCGCCAGTCACGATGTTCTCAGCAGGTTCTGCCATTATTAGGGCCGGCGCCCGCCGAGCCGTACCTCGGATCCGACACCGACAAACCCTTCCAGGCCTCGCCCACGGCAACCAGGCCCTCTCCCTCGCCGGTGTCCGCGCTCTGTCGACCACTGAGATCCAGAACAAGCAAGCCACCAGCGACCGCACCCGTGCTATCATTATTAGGACGCTGAGCCAGATCGGCAGCCGACGTGAGGGACAGCAATACCTCTCGTACTTTACGTCCGTCTCTTCGCAAAAGTTCGCCGTCATCAAGGTCGGCGGTGCTATTCTTACCGACTACCTCGATGAGCTCTGCGAGAACATTGCCTTCCTGTACGAGGTCGGCCTGTATCCCGTCATTGTTCATGGCGCCGGTCCCCAGCTCAACCGCCTTCTCGAGGAGGCTGGTGTCGAGCCCGAGTTTGAGGAGGGCATTCGCGTCACCAACCCTAAGACTTTGACCGTTGCTCGCAAGCTCTTCCTCGAGGAGAACATGAAGCTGGTCGAGAAACTCGAGAGCCTCGGCGTCCGCACTCGCCCTCTGACCTGGACCCTGACCGCCGACTACCTCGATAAGGAGAAGTGGAATCTTGTTGGCAAGATCACCGAGGTCAAGAAGGAGCCCATTGAGCAAGCCATTTCGCACGGCTACGTGCCTATCCTGACCTCCATGGCGGAGACCCCCGAGGGCCAGATCCTCAACGTCAATGCCGACGTTGCTGCGGCCGAGCTCGCCAGGGCGCTCGAACCGCTGAAGGTTGTCTACCTCTCTGAGAAGGGCGGCCTCTTCAACGGCGAGTCGGGTGACAAGATCTCGCACATCAACCTGGATGAGGAGTATGACTACCTCATGTCTCAGTCATGGTGCCGTTACGGAACGCGCCTCAAGATCAAGGAGATCAAGGAGCTGCTGGAGACCTTGCCCCGCACCTCGAGCGTCGCCATCATCCACCCCAGCGACCTGCAGAAGGAGCTCTTCACCGATTCCGGCGCCGGTACTCTGATCCGCAGGGGCGACAAGATTGAGGTTGCCGACAGCATCTCGCAGATCAGCGATCTCGCCAAGGTTAAGGAGTGTCTCATCCGGGACCGTGAGGGCATGGATGCCGAGGCTACCGTCGATCGGTACATCGACTTCTTGAAGGACACCCCTTTCAAGGCGTACTACGATGAGCCTTACAACTGCATGGCCATTGTCCTGCCTCCCGGCAAGGATCGTTCGCACGCCACTCTGGCCACCCTGTCGGTAACCAAGGAGGGCTGGCTCAGCAATGTGACCGAGAATGTGTTCAACGCTATCAAGAAGGATCACCCCAAGATGGTTTGGACTGTCAGCGAGGAGGACGAGAACCTCACTTGGTTCTTCGGCAAGTGCGACGGCAGCTTCGTCAACAAGGGCGACGTTCTCTTCTGGTACGGTGTCGACGACTTCCAGGAGCTCGGCGCGTTGACGGAAGAGTTCAACGCTGTTGGCCGGGCCATGCTGGGCGACTCGAACCTCGAGTCCCGCCTGCGCCGCGCCGCGCAAACGTCCAACAGTAACCTGGCGTCGCACGCTGCGTCGTCTCGTTAAAGCCCTTGCCATGGTCTGCAGACAGCAGTGGCCACCATCGCTGCGGGTTTTGGGGCTGAAGCATCGGTCAGGCGCACTGATAGCACGACTGTGGAGCCCAGACCACCCAAAGCTGGATGAACGCCTTCAACAATGTGTTCCCATGCGTGCCGGGCCCACGACCGACCTGGGGCTATACAGAGGAAGACATCGGAGGACAGGGATATGAATGCCATTCAGACAATCATGGCCGAGCACCAGCAGTTTAAACCCTCCTTCGGGGGACCCGGTGTTGGTTAGTTCGACATTCAAGCCAGCGGTGCGTTGCATGATGCCCGAGATAGGTTGCTCTACTATGCACAGTTCTTGTGCTGTAGACTCCCTGACCTTGATTGGGTTTGTGGTTTGGAAGGACTCCTTGGGAGGTGGGCAGGGTCTTTTTCACGGCGATCAGCTGATTTGATGCCTCTTTTCACTTGCGTCTGTCGTTGTCCTTGGGGGTTTCCCTTTCAATCTGGTTGTATATATGGCGTAAGAGGTACCTACTGAGGAAAATTTGACTCGAATCGCAATGGACATAGACCTAAAGCGTGGCGAAAGAAGCACCGCGAAATGCTTCTAACGCTGGCCATGATGCTCAGTACCTTAGGCGGAGAGACCCACGGCCCAAGTCGAGGCGGCTGCTGAGTCACTGGGACGGGAGACGGGGCACGGACAGAGGTATCACCAACATTGAGGAGGGATCGACGAACCGAGCCCGCGCGCCTTACGAACGCTACCTTGAACTGCCGATTGAACTGCTCGGCAACGCAGGCTCGGGCATCTACTTGACGAACTGCTTATCTGTCGGAGCGTTCGCTTGGAGATGGGAATCAGCATTCTCGTCAAGCAGGCAGCCATGCAGCTGTTGCTGTGAAGCCCGAGCACCTTCGGAAAGATGCCCATGCGTGTTTCCATTGCTCGCAGGATCTGAAGCGCGTTTCAACACCATCCCAGCTTCCCATTGGATACTTCTATGCCAAAGCACACTACTGGAGTCGAGCGAGTGGATCGTGATCTCGACGACGAATACCTTTCGAGAAGGATCACAACCTTGGCCGAAGCGCAAGCGCGCAGCCAAGAGAAACAAAAAAGCTTGCTGTCATAGGCATGCTTGTTGCCATTGGCATGAGGGAGTTTCGCCCTTTCACCACGGAAACGGCCTGCGGTCCATCCTATCTTCTCTTACCCCTTGGCTGAAGATGAGAGAGGTTGGATATAGCTGAGGGTGAAGCTTGGCGGGCCCTGGAAGAATGGTCATGGGTGCGCGACCTGTTAGTACTCGGCCATCGGCTGCGTCTCAGCTCCCCTGTGCGCCTGGTGTTTGTTGCACGCCCGTCAGTCTGCAATGGGAAATGGTGCGGGGCGCATCTACTTGGGACGTCAAAGAACGAACGTGGAAAAGAGGGCGGAGGGCAACATAGACTGGTTTTGAAGAGGGCTCGTGGCACGCTGCGAGTTGCAAAGTCGTTCAGATGCCCAGGATGGAAGGGGTCGTCGTC